AAATCAACCGGGATCTAGGAAGAAATGACGATCATGCCACGCCTTTGTATTTTCCAGGAGAAGTCCCGACGGTAGTACGGAACAAAGGCGGGCAAGGTAAGCTCTCGTGGCCGAATTCTTGTGAAACCGAGTACGGATATCAACAACAACCAATAGGAGAGGTGAAGATTTACAAACCGAGGCCCCATACTCGACCTCCGAAAATATAAAAATATCCGTAGAGCACGTCGAATCAATGTCGGACATCGTTTGCACTATCTCGAACGTGTACTCATCAAGCTCAAGCATCGGGAGCACGGGCGTAGGCACACTAAGCTCCTCCAAATGGTCACGATCCTCAATAATACGAAACGACGCCCCAAAGGACATGGGCACCACCTTATCCTCAACATCCCAAGGCATCTCATCCGCACACGACACATCCGGCTCAACAACATCATCTAAATGCTCGGATTCCTCCTCACTACTATCATCATCCTCCTCCTCATCATCACCAACACTTTCATTACCACTCGGCTCACTCAAATCATCAATTAAATTATCTCCCAATCCATACTCAACATCAACTTTCGAATCCATACTCTCCTCCTCAATAATCGAATCAAAACCCGAAACACCATCAACGGACGAAGATTTTGGCGTACCTAGTGTAGAATGCAAGTCCACGTCATCACAAGGAGGAAGTTCTTCGACAAAAAGCTCATCGATGTCCTCACTCGTATCTAAAGATTGAGTCCCATCGTACACGGGAGTGCGGCCTACCTCTTTCAAGGAGGCACAACGATCCACCATAACCCGAAATTCGCTCTCTAATCGAATGCTCTCTCGAATAATCTCTGCGGATAGAGTAGAATATCTACCGAGCGGAATAGAAGATGAATCCAAGTCGAGAAAAGACACCACGGTGGAGTCGAACTTCTCAAGTGTAGCACGAAGAGCGGATGGAATCAGGATGCACCTCCAACTATTGAACTCCTCGATGATAGACGCGAGGCTCGCGAGTGCGTCTTGAGTTCTCGTCAAAACTTCTTGGTGACGATCGATCGGCCCAACCTCGGAATGAAATGAAGCTCCAAGACCAGATGAACGAGGTTGGCCAACCGATGGGTGCTCAAATGCCGGAAAGGGAGAAGTGAAAGATTCGGTTTTTTCTTTTTCGGATAGGGAGGCTAATAAAGCACGAAGGGATTGAGCGTCCTCCTCCAACTTTGCCACGATCTTGTCTAATTCGGTTGGAGGGGCCCGAGTCGGCTCGGGTGGAGGCATAACATCATATAAACCGGGAGGTAGAAGATAGTAGAGAGGCGTCTCGTCATAAACCAGATAATGATCATAATAATCGCATTGGGTTGTGAAATAAGGGTGGCTCGGGCCAAATGAGTTCATCTCCCCTTGAAAATTGTCGGGGTATCCACGAAATGAGCTCCCGGCGTAATAGTGAGAATAGGGATACATCCGGGCTCCTCAAGCGTAATACCTCGCACAAGAACAAGAAAAACAACCCAAGGCACACGAGGCAAGAGAGAAAATAACAACAAGCGAAACTAAAAACAGATAATATTTACACGGGCACAAAAGCAAAACAAGAGAAATCCAAAAACAAGGCAATAATCAAGAGAAACACGCGAAAACAAACGAAATCCACAAAAGCAAGAGAAACACGGAAACAAACGACAACTAGATAGTAAACTTGGCGTCCTAC